CAATGATCCACCATAACTCCCACTCCCAGGAGGACGAACAACAGAAACGTGGGTGAAGGGAGACAGAGGTCGGCGTAAGATATGAAAATAATAATATATAATTTATCAAGGGGTCCTGAGGGTGGGGAGGGAGGGGAAAAAAGAGGAGCTGATACCAAGGGCTCAAAAGAAAGTAAATGTTTAGAAAATAATGATGGCAACATATGTACAAATATGTTTGATATAGTTGATATATGGATTGTTATAAGAGCTATAAGAGCACCCAATAAAATGATTTGAAAACAAACAAAAAAGATTTCATTCTACTTGGATCCATAAGCAATGCCCTTGAAAGCAGCGGTCAAAAGCCAAAAGATGTAATACTTGGGTAAGTCTGCTTTTTAAAGTGTTTTTCTGATGAGTCGGAATCAACTCGATGGCAGTGGGTTGGGGTTTTGATTGAGTCTGGGGAACAAAAAGAAGTCTGAGGAGGCCAGATCAGGATTGTAGTGTGGATGAAGGGAGCTTTCCCAAGGACATTTCCATGGGTCAGCCCTGGCTCCCCCTGGAAGAACGAGCAGGTAGGTCCATGATGGTGCTAGAAAACACTGTCTCTGACTCTTTTCTCAATGTTCCCAAAACTTCTTCCTCATAAGCCCCTGTGATCATCCTGTGTCCTTGGGGGGGAAAAAAAAAAATCTCCCAAGATGACATGTTGGGAATCTCCCCCAAAAGAGTTGCCTGTAACCTTCTCAGCTGACTTCTCTACCTTGAATTTAATTGGCCTAACGGATGCTTGCGGAAACCACTGGATTTCTGTTGGTGAGGGCACTTGACAGGAGACTAAAACAAGCACATCACCGAGAGAACTTGTCTGCAGTCATCCACGATCACAGAGCCATGTTTAAACACGCGCTGTTTGGGATTAACCCAGAGGGCATGACGGGAACACCCAACTTGTCTCGGCCCCCACAGAACAGGGTAGAATTGCTTTGTTGGTGCCCAGCCAACAGTTCTTGCATGAAAAAATGAAAATTAGGGTCTGGCTTGTTTGTTTTTAAACTAGTTGGCATGAGGATATTTGGGTGTTTCTGAGCCCAAATTGCTGTTTGTAACAGATTTCACTTTTTTATTAGCAATGTTTCCTTTATCTCCAACCCAGTAGGTCGCCCCTGTAGAAAAGCACAGAGATAAGACCGAAGAACAAACATAATTAGATAATACGGTCCCAAAGTGCTGTAAATGCGTTATTCAAACTTTATCCTGTGTTGTGGCCATAACAGGAGCCTAAAAGGAGTTTCTCAGTTTTAGTAACTGCCATTTTACATTCAATAATTCGTCAGGAAATATTCTCAAACGAATATTTTTCTGAATTATTTGTACTGATATCCCATTTTAGGGGACAGCTCTCCTTTTGGCCCGCCGGCCGGTTTGCGGGCGGTGGGCGGCGGGG